ATAAATGTTAGCTATTATAAATAAATAAACAAATAAATAAATAATCTCCACACTTAACTAGTATATTAGGGATCGCATTGTAAAAGGTTTATTACATCTATCCTATCGATAATAAATTATATTGAAACAAAAAAAATGGAATACCGAACAAATTCTTAATCCTGACACACAAATTGATTTACCCAAAGCCTTTGGAACTTCAACTTAAATATAAGCTGAGGATAACAGGTATAACAAGTTATCATTTAAGTGATCTTAATTCACGTGTTTGGAGGCTTTTACATTTTATTTTTTCCTTGTTTATACCACTGAACTTATTCTTAGAACGAACGTCATTTAGGCCTTGTTCGCACGACGCTAGTATTTTAGTCGAGTTGCAAATATTTAGTAGTTCTCTCTCACTTCCATTTTGGGACAGAAGCGAGAGAGGACCACTGAATATTCGCTACGCGACTTAAATACTGGCGTAGTGTGATCATGCCCCAGCCGTCGCTAGAGACACTCCGGGCGTCAGGGATCGGGAGACGATCTCCGGCCACCGTAAGCACGGACCTGCGGACGGCGAGCCCGAGTGACTCGCCGCCCGACCAGAACCAGACCCGAGCGTACAGCGCGTCGCGTTCCGCGCGCGCCTCATGTAGCCATCAGACCACCACAGACGCCCAATAGGGCTGATGCCGATACGGGGCCGCGGAGGACTTAACGGGTTGCCGGGCTCGAAGTGCAGGAGTAGAAACGGGGTAGTTTTTAGTCAGTAAGAGTATGACACTTCCTCTCTTCTCACCCGGGTGAGAGAAGTCATTGGATGATTAAAAAAAAGTGTGAACAAGGCATTAGGTTGTGTTATTTTGATTTACATTTGAACGCCATTTTTTGCCGTTCGATGCAATTCGTTGTAGACCAAAGTTCAGAGTCATGGCGGACTAGAGAGCATCAACAAAAAAGTTTGACTACTAAACGAAGGCCGCTGGCAAGTATGCATCCTTAGGTTAGGTTAAGCTGAAAGTTTGTTCGGCTAGGGTTGCAGATAAAGTGCAAAAGTTACCACGGCTCCAGCTCGGGGTATGAATTAGAACGATTTAATGATATTACCTCCTAAGAAAAAGGCAAACAGTTTGTAAATAATTGTTAGGTCAAAGAAATCTTGTGTGTGCTATTTATACTAGCTGTGCCCACGACTTGTAGTAGTGATTCACAGCTCCTCCTCCGTAGGTGATAGCGTGATAATATGTAGCCTATATGTTGAACAAAGCTGTTAGTAATATTCATGAAAGATTTGTAGTAAATTCACACAGTACAAAAAAGATCTAAAAACCATATTTTTGGCTTCGATATTGAGTGTAGATCATGCCTCAAGCATTCTTTTAAAAAATATTTAATATACAGTTTTTACTTTAATACGATTTTAATATATGCATAGATAGGATGGCGTTGCTGCTGTCCACACCCTATAGTCACAGTTTTAAAACAGATTTGGATTCAGCACTGCACCACGTTGCAAATCGAATTGTCATCCCCTCTTTTCATATTAACAGAAACAGTCTCCAAGCAGTGTGGGAGAGCCATGCTCCGGCACGACTGGGCCGGCTCGATCGGAGTGATACCACGGCCTCACAGAAAACCGACGTCTTTTATCGTGTAAGTGAGGTTACCGAAGTCCCAATTACCCCTTACCCAATCTCCCCAATCCCTGAATCCCAAACGATTCTCAAACTCCTAATCCCCAAAAGGCCAGTAACGCACTTGTAACGCCTCTGATGTTCCAGGTGTCCATGGGCGACGCCGAATGCTTACCATCAGATGATCCGTCTGCTCGTTTACTGGCTTATGCCATAAAAAAAGCAAAAATGCTAAATAACAATGACAAGCATAAAACTATATGAAGGTACCCACATAGGACAAGCTTGCATAGAATGCGAAGCCTCATTGCATTAACGAGGAAAACGCATCATTTGAGTGCACAATGAGTTGTTCGTATGCATAAGAATTACTGCAATGAGTAACTGTATGTTTTTATTGTTTAATGAGTCAGCAGTGGAAAATACGCCTGTCTGTTGATTAATTGAAAGTTGTACATGTTACTATAAGTGACGTAAAAATATATGCTTCTAAGTAGACACATAGATAGGAAAGATGTTAGCACTTTAAGATACAAATTTAAGATCACATATTTTCCCACCTTTTAAGCTAACCTAACTTAGGTATAAGCAGAAGTGCACATAGGTGATATGGAAAGTTATTTCACATTTTTCACCAATTACGTTATAAGTGCAATGTAATAGAGGATGAGCTTATTGGTACCGGACAAAATTCTACTGTACCATTATGCCCTGAATAAAAATTATTGAAAAAATAAATATAACCCTGGTAGAACTTTGCCCAACGTTTACCGGCTTATTGTATAAATAAAATGTTTCGGACATTAAAAAATACATCAGCTAGTATTCTAAAATCTAAACAAACGTCTATATAGTTCTAAAAATCGTTAAAAATAAAAATAGCCAGTCACTAGATTTTTTAGTTCGCAAATAGCAAATATACATACGAAGGTAGCTGTCACTGAGCACTGACGTCATCGCTAGAATTTTAATTAAGTAGCTACATAAAAATATGACCTGTTTTCTAAGTCGGCGAAATTCATTAAGAAGTTTGTTTAGTCAGTAGGTCAAACAAGAATGTGAATCAGAAATTACCGCTAGTGGTCTGCTGTTGTGTAGCTATGAAACTTTTTTTATCAATAAAAACTTTTTGGTATATTGTAATTGGGAAACTTAGGTAGGTACTGGCTGATCTGAATAGTATTGGCGCTGTATGAATGAAGTAACGTTCTTTAATTAATATTTACTTACTACATAATACGATAGTTGACAGGTAGTCAAAATCAATACTTTTTTTGAAATGTCAAGAAGGATACTTTTCTATAAATTTTGTATTGGATCGCAACTTATGACGTCATCATATTTCTGCGTCAAATAGCATACTTATTTCCTTAAAGAAGGGCCAAATTAAAAGTACCCTTAACCGACGAGCATGCATGAAAAGATTGATAACTGTTATTGAAGCGAAAGAGGTATGTAATAATCGTAGTAATTGGCGTACCTTAGTCTCTGCCTACCCCCATGGGAGACAGGCGTGAAGTTATGTATGTATGTATGCATTTCCTTAAAATTAGCGAGAATAAATTCAAAAGTAGGTAAATAGTGAAATCAATGAATAAGATTATGATTATTTTTTAACTGTTTATTGCATTGAAAAGATGAAACAATTGATTTTAAACCTAGGAAACTAGCCAATTATCATAATGTTGTATACGGGCCTATTACCTATCTGGTTCAGATGTTCTTTCACGACTAACCCGGAGATCTCAATACAATGTTTACAATAAAGATGAAATTAAAATAAACACTATAAATCAAAAAAGATTTAACCAATAAGTATCGTGCAAAAATAAGAAAACAAAAAGTTATGCAGTATCAGGTAAAAACTGGAACTTAATAAATATGTAGATACTAAATTAAAAATACAAATTTCTCACTTAGGTACCTACAAACAATCCCAAAACTGGTATACCCAACCCATTTTTAAATGAATAAATTAATTTAGTAAAAAATAATATCCTTATTTGACATCATTCCTAAACATTTCGGACACAATACAATATCATAACAAACTTTACTTATTTACTTATACGTTAAAATCTATTAAGAAAGTGCGCGTCGTCCAAAATTTGCGTAAACAGACAAAAAGTGGGTAATCTCGCTGTCAAAACGGTAAAATAAATCAAATAAACATAAACATTAGCAATTTGTATATCAACAAACCGGTATAAACTTGCTACAGGTGCCTAAGTTTTCCTTAACCCAAGTTTTTTTTTAATTTTTTCGTTTAGTGGAACGCGAATACACGCTCCAAGCAGTCGCTTTTAAAACGTGGAACAGAGTGCTTGTTATTTCGAAGTTTAAAAATCGAATTTATTTGTTTTTAAAATGAAGTGGCTGGTGAGTTACTTTTTTTTTAATTTAGATTTATTTTTTTATCTGTGATTGTGTGTGCGATTATGGTTTGACAATTACAATTTAGTTTTTATATTTTTTGTTCAAATTAATGACTTAAAAGTCGTTCATAAAGATGTTTAATTAGATAACATAGTGAATAAAGGATGCTTGATGTTAGTCACAGCACAGTTCAAGATGAACCGGTCATTAAATTCATTGTTTAAGACTTAAGTGAATTTTACGTGGACATGTGAGGCTAATTTAGAATTCTGACAAAGCAATATCAAGATTGTGATAAAAATATCGTGAGAATTGTATCAAAAGGTATTTTGAGCAGGATTTTTGAGATAAACATTAGCTTTGAAACTTTAGTTGTTAAAAAATCATTTAAAATTATGTACCATTTAGATACATACCTATCTACTTATCTATAAATACTTAGTACTATCTACTAATGTGATATCATTTAATTCCATCACGTATCGAGTTAGAATGCAAAAAAGCTCAGAAAAAACTGCAAGCAAAATTCACTACAAACGACAAAGGAATCAATCAATTATTATAATAAAATGTATGCAATAAATTAAAGTTCGTTTTTTCATCGTAAAGCGTAGACAATGGCACATCAATGTACACTTCACTGTTAGATGTCTTTAATAGATTCTCAACTCTAAGGTTTTGTGATAAAGTCGAAATTTAAGTGCAGATATTTTAATATGCTTTAATCTGATATGTTCTACAATATGTATAAAATGATTTTGCGTAGTTTTTGCTAAAGGCCAACCGGTTTTATAGGTACATTACCTTCTGTTTATAAACATTATGTGCAGATGCATAGTATTATAGATATTTGTAAAATAAATACCTAGATGATGGCAAGGACTCATTTATTTGTGGTCGTTCTTGTAGTAGCCTGTGTCATACAACTGAGAATTGGGTACATACTTGCCAATTAATCAAATTCAATACTTTTTTCGAACTGTCAGAAACGACAGTTTTCTTTGAATTTTGTACGAGATTGTGTTTTGTGACGTCACGTTTTTTTAACGTCAAACAGCATATTTATTTTTTTAAATCAGCTAGAAAAATACTAGAATTAAGTTGGTTATACAATCAATTAATGAAAGTGTTACTTTTTAATAGGCAGTGTATTGAACAGTCAAAATAATTTATTTTTGATTTAGGAAAGTACCCAGTTAGACAGTTTAGTTCTGCCCTAGTCCTGGACCACTGGACCATTGATTAACCCCTTAAGTCAACAAAATGAGAGATTCAAGAACCTCAAAAACAAAACTGGAAACAATTAGGAGTTTCTACATTGAAGGGTTTTTATGTATTTATAAAACTACTAATCTCAATTCACCTGATCTCTCACCCGTCTGCCAAGCCTGGAGATAATTGCAAACCTCCATTATAGGGTCCATATGCTATAGGGTAGTTGCCAGGGTACGAAAATAGAAAATCTAATTAGTCCGTCAGTTAGGTAATGAAAAAATATTTGACACATATTTTTTTTTTCTCGTATTAAGTTACATTACTTAGATAAAATGAGGTTAAGTTTAGGAGTAGAGGGTCGTTACGTCACAACGTGCTACATTTTGTAGCACTTTGTGACGTCACACGATATTTAAAATTAATATATCGCCGAAAGTATTTAATTTTGTGAGAAAAGAAAAAATACGTGTCTAATGATTTAAATTAATCTACCAGACGGACATTAAAATAAAATTTAGGAAACTACCCTATTATAACCTCCTTATTATATGTCCAGGACGCCTATAGCCCAACAATAACAGTATAATTATACAGTAAGAGGTCCGAGACAAAATTCATCGGATGGACCCTATTTCCCTTTTATAATCGAGAAGTTCAGGTATGACCCTCTGCACGGAGCCCCATTTTTCCAACTAGCTACTCTGTAGTTAAGCCACTGAGCAAAAGGCATGTAGTCGTTGACTTTTGATGACCTGATATAATTTTATGTTAATAAAACTTTAGCTCAATTATGTTTTTTTTTGTTATCATATCGTAAAGGTAATGAAGTATATACCTATATAAGTCTGTATAATCTACCTATAAACTATGTTATTACAATTTGATACTTATGTCATAATTGAGGAAAACCATTTTTGAAGCCAATCAACAATTTTAAATACATTTTTAAACGATAGAAACATGATTAATAAATATTGGCCACTCGCAAAAAGTGACGTCAATTATGTACCTATTTTATTTAAATACGAAGTCGTTTTGTTAACATAATATTGTTAGAGGTTTTCGTTTCTTCGAAAACACAAGCCTTCGGAGATATTTGTTTAATAGGTTCTACTTAACTATTTTTGACGTAGGATCTGGAGACTGACTTGGGAGAATTTTAGGAACTGTATATTTGTGTTCAACTAGAGAGCCTAGATAGCATGGGTATTTAAATGAACATACCATATACTAACAACTGGGAAAATATTTAGTTTTTTTATTCCACTGAGGGAATGAATTTGCCGCACGCAGTATGCAGCACGGCCCGCGACTCGAGCTGCCGGAGCCGTTGAGTCAACAACTCCTGAGATTGTTTCGCTTCTCCAAGCGAGTGGTTTGTTGCGTGTCGTGGGTGACCGTTTTTCTGCAGGCCGGTTCTGCATACTGCATACTCTTCCTCGTGTACAGTAGGAAGAGTCCCTCTATGACTCGAAACTAGCAGAACTTTTCTCAGTATATTTACGCTAGTAAATTTACTACGTAAAACCAAAGATACTCTACCAGAGCTTTTCTCATTTTTACGTGAGTAGGTAACTAAACTGATATTTTTAGTTACCTTTAGGTACATAAAAATAAATAATAAATCTACTGGTTACCTCAAAGGTTTTGTTGATTTAAGCATAAAGGTGGACGAACTTATTATAACATCACGCCTTTTATCCCCGAAGGGGTAGGCAGAAGTGCACACAAGAAGTAAAACCCACTTTTCACTATTTATGTTATGAGTCCCATGTAATAGGCCAATAGGGGGTGAGCCTATTGCCATATACCGGGCACATTTCCAGACTCCGTGCTACTACTGAGACATTTTTTTTACGACTTATTATTAATTAATTAATTATACAATTTTAATATACGTGTAATTTACCCATAATTGATACTACCTACTTATATTACAGATATCTATATCAGCCCTGATTGTGGTGACGTTCTCGTTCGTCACGGGTCAACGACCTTCCTTCGCAGGATCTCGTCCCATCGGGTTTCCTGAGACGCCAAACAGGACGACCACAACCGTCGATCCTCTTTCAGACCGGTAATATACACACAACCATAATTATATTATTTTTGGTTCTAAGCCAAATTTTGCTTGTCTGCCTGTACATAATAGGCCAGTGTTGGTCATAATAAGGCTGACAACAAGGTTGGTGTGGTGGCTGGGCAACCGGCTGCCGCGCAACGTGTTGCGGGTTGGATTCCCACACGGACTAACTCTATGTGTGGGCCACAAATTGTTGTTTCGGGTCTGGATGTCATGTGTGTGTGAACTTGTATATTTGTAAAGGCACCCACGACACAGGAGAAAATCCTAGTGCGGGGCAACGTTGTGTTTTTTAAACTTAAACTTTTTTAAACTTAAAAACTCAATATTTACTTTATTATGAAACTAAGTACTGCATACTAATCTTCTTTATCAATTTGTTCAAATTAAAACGAAAATAAAACATAAC